AGGTTAATGTCAAGTGTCTTTCTCAGTCACTCTCTACCTTGTTTTATTGAGACAGAGTCTCTCACTTCCTAGAACTAATCAATTTGTTGAGACTGGCTGGTAACAGGCCGCAGGGAGTGTCCAGTCTCTACTTCCCCAGCTCTGGGGTTACAGGCATGTGCCACCTCATGAATGGAAGGCCTCTTTGCCAGCTGAGCCCCCAGCAGCCCCTTGGAGTATTCTGGATAACTGTAAACTATAAACAACTCTCCACCCCCCAATCCTACAACTCCCTGCTCGTCTTTGTTCTATTTAACTGAACATGCACACACGCAAACAGATAATTGTACATCCTTTTCTGATGGCTTTTCCTCCTTTAAGTGGCAATGGGCTCTCATATTTTGCAGCCAGCCTTTGTAGCAAATTCTTACTGTGTTCTAATCTGTGGTTATTTCACCTTTTCAGTCCTCAAGGTGAAACAGACTGAGAGTGAAATCTCCACTTTTAGTACTGACAGGGTAAAACCCTCTGTCTGTAACTTACACTCTAGTGGAGAAGACACAAAGATAAGGGGGGGGTGCATATGATACAGTTGAGAGAGTTATATTGCATCAATAATTGCAAGATTTTATGGGAGACTATAAGTTATCCTTGGGAAATGTGAGTGAGAAGATCAGAGGAGATTGCCTGGGGCACGTGATCTTCTATTCACAACTAGAAAGGTATGTCAGTGGTAGGCAAAGAAAGGAGTATGTGGAGAGTGTGGTCTGAATTTCCTAATCCAGTGTTTCACCATCCCAGAATGAATGAAGTGAAGCTTCAGCAGCGCTTGCCAATGATAACTTACAGACTGTGATGGTCTAAATATGAAGTGTCACCCAGAGACTGTTTTAACTTGGTCCCCAGATGGTAGCTCTGTCTTAAAAGGTTCTGGAACTTTTAGGAAATGGATTGAGCTTTGTTACAGGAAGTAGGTCCAGGGTCCAGCTCTGAGATGAATTGGCCCAACTCCATTCCCTGTTCACCCTCCACACCCTGACTGCAGTCAGGTGCAATGTGACCATGCTAGTCTACACTCTCAAACTGTGAGCCAGGTAAACCCTCCCCACTAAACGCTTTCTTGTCTGGTACTTTGTCACAGCATTAAAAAGCAAAACACTATTGCAAGCAAGTATTTAACAAGTCCCAGGAGACCCCTTGCAGTTTATCTCACAGGCCTATCACGTCATACTTTACCCACCAGTATACAGTATGTCTGGATTTCTAGACTGGCCCTTCTGGAAAGCTCACCCACCTTTGGTTTCCTCTAGGAAGCTACAGGGAGCTGTTGTTCCTGGATCAACATCCATTTCCCCCATTCCAGGTTTTTGTTTTTCTGTTGCTTTTCTGTTGCTTGATAAACATTTTACCAAAAGCATCTTGGGGAGGGAAGGGTCTGTTTCATCTCACAGGAAACCAAGGCAGAAACTCAAGGCAAGAGCCAGAACTGGATTCAGAGACTGGATTGGAATGCTGCTTACTGGCTGGCTCAGCCACCTTTTTTTGTTGTTGTTTTTATTCAATTCAATTTAGTAATGTTCTAGGAGATATTTTTATTATATTAGCTCTAATAATGTAAAATAGATTCTATTGTTCTATTATTTACTTCTTTCTCTTTCCTCTTTTTATTAATTTATTCTCTCATGTATCCGGTCAGCTACCTTTCTTCTACAACCCAGGCTGTTTGCCCAAGAATAGCTCTGCTCACAGTGGCTTAGACAATCCTAAATCAATTAGTAATTATGAAAATCCCACACAAGCATGCCCACAGGCCAGGATGATCTGGAAAATTCTTCAGACGAGGTACCCTTTACCCATGTGACCCTAGGTTTATGTCAGATTGGCAACTCAAGGTAACTATGACACCTGCTCTGAAATGTATTAAAGGTGGAGATCCAATCAATAAATTATAGTGTTTCTAAAGGATCCTCTGTGTGTGTGTGTGCGTGTGTGTGCGTGTGCATGTGCGTGTGCATGTGCGTGTGCATGTGTGTGTGTGTGTAGATGCTTGCACAGTCCACATGAGGATACCAGGTACCCTGGAGCCAGAGCCCCAGGTGGTTGTGAGCTCTGTGATGGGACTGTGTGACTGTGTGACTTCTGGGGACAGGACTCAGGTACCGTGCAAAAGCACTAAGTTCCCCTAACTGCTGCGCCGTCTGTCCAGCCCCCAAATCCTCCACTTTCTGACAAGTTCTAATTGCATAAAAGTAGACTTGCATAGAAACGTTCAAAAACCAAGTTGGGGTGATGGCTGTACACATTTACACATTAATAATAAACCATTGCAAAAGATATGTTTTAATATAAAGACCAGAAATGTTTTAGTAAAGTATTAAAAATATAAATTTTACCTGAATAAATTATATCTTAATAAAATACTCCTGAATAAATTATACCCAAATGCACTAGGCCTTATAAAGCTCCATGCGTTTCTATGTATACATTATCCACACCTCTTTTGCCTTTCTTTCCTGGTCCTCACCCCAACCAGCTCTGTGACCTCAGCACACAGAATAGCTTCTCTGAAATTCCATTTCCTCATATTATAAAATGTGTTTACATATTATTTACATACCCACCTCATAAGGTAGGTAAAACAGGAGGATGCCTGGTTACTGCCAAACAGGATTCTGGTGTTTAATAAAGGTTCTATAAATGTTAGGTTTTTTCCTTCCTTCTCTTTCTTATGAGTAACATTTGGTAACAATTTTCTCATGGTGACACCTCTTCTACCCAGGATCTCTATCCCTTTCTTAAGAAGGTATTAGCATTCCATAGCAAGGGCTCATCTGGTGCAGGCCTGTCCATCTCTCCATCAATCCTCTTCCTGGTCTATGGCTCCTGGCTTCCTGGGAAGCACCAGGTCCATTTTGGCTAGGGCATGTCCCAAAGTGTTATTATTGTGTTTTCCTCTTCATTTAAGATGCAAAAACCCATCTCAAAGCAACAGCAGGCTTGTAAAACTGCCTCCAAGATGCACTACTAGGTCACTTGGGAATTGCCACCCAGGAATCAAAGATTTGTCTTACGGTTTATGCTCTGATGGCACCTGGACTACAGCAGTTGCCACTGACTGTGTAGTTAGTGTCTTGCTGGGGGGACATGGGGAAATTAAGATGTCTGGAATAAGAAGCAGCTAAGAATGGGAAGCTCGGGCCCTGACATCAATTGTAGCTTAGACTTGACAAGGTCCTGTGGATTTCTCTTTACCCATGACTCATTGTGGACATATGCTAACAAGTGCCAGTGGTTGTCCCTGCTCAACCAGCCTCAGGTCAGGACAGGGGCTGGAATCTTGTCTGTAGTATTCATCTGCACAGCAACTCACTGATACCTGTCCATGAGATTATACAGGCAAGGCCACTTCTTTCTAGGTAGACCTTAGGTGCTTCCTCTCTTAACTTCTAGGTCTACAGCCCTTTTGCCTCCTTGGTCTTCTGATGTCCACTCAAGACCACCTAAAACCCAACCTACTTCCCATAAAACTGGTGTTTCCCATCAGTTTGTCTTCCTCTCTTATAACTGATTGGCCAACACACTGGATTCCCAAGAAAGATCTTGAAATACAACTGCCTTATTGAATAATGCTTACAATGTTTGGTTTATCAGCCCTGCTTTAAGAATTCAGTGAGATGAAGGGGAACGTATATAACCACATGACAGAGTATTAAATATTTAAAAAGCCATGTTCCCAATTCTTGTGCCAACAGTAAATGAAAAGAACGAAAAGAACGAGACACAAATTACACAGTGAGTTTGATCAAAACAACACGCACACACTCAGCGCGCACACACAAACACACACACTGCATATGATAATATGTGGAGAGAAAATTCTGGAGCAGGATCTCAAAAATATTGACAGCATTTTTCTCCAGGTGGCAGAACCATGAATAATGTTTATTAAAATGCCTGTGTTTATTCTTGTTCCTCTTTCAGTGAGCACCTGTTCCTTTTCTAGTGGAAACAAAAGACTTTTCAAAACGAACCAATGAAACTTCCACACGTCTCTGCAAAACAGAGCGCTTTCTGTCTCCTCTGACGCCGTGTGTGCCTCCAGTCCCTACAGGAGAGATACTTCAGCCTCCACTCTGCTGGGGAAGCAAGTTCTCATAGAAGGAAAACTCAGCACTGAGAAATGAGTTTGGGGGAGCGAAAGGAGCAGTATTGATGGTCTGGGAGTGAGACAAGAGACAAACTCCCTTGGGCACACCCCCAACTCATACCTCTCTTCCTTTCTCAGAAACCTAGACACAGCCAGGCACTGCAGCTCAGTGCAGCATGGAGAGGAGAGCTTCAGACGAGAAGGAACAGCCTCTGCAGCAAAAAGCAGAGCCCTTGGTGGCTGCCCCGCAGTAGATGAACTACACACAGGTGGAATTCAGTTTCTCTAGTTTAAAAGTTTACAGAACAGCAATTCTTCCAATGCAATAGAGAAAGACAAACTCAGAACCTTTCAGGAAGGGTGTGAAGCCAGATGTGATGGCACACACCAGGAATCCCAGACTGAGGCAAGAGAACTGCCAGTTTCAGGCCATCCTAGGCCGCAGTGAGTAAGTATGTTTACTTTCCTGTGTACTGAATTATCTTTGGAAACCTTTTATTCACTGAACAAAGTTTTGACTTCCACTTACCGCATGGCACCATGAGGCTGCAATCAGTTAACTAGCATCACTTCAATCTGGCCAGAGAGGTTAGCATCAAGTAGACATATAAAGACGCCGTATCTGTCCATCTCAACACAGGTGAAAGCCTAGCCTCTTAACTTCTGGATTATGGTCTTTTGGGTCCCAGTGATCCTATGAGGCCAGCCTAGGTGCTATGAGATTTTAGGTAGCATCCCTGGCCTCTGCCCACTAGATGCCAATACCACACTTTCTCTTATTTTGTGACCAGAAATGTCTCCAAATACTGCCAGTTGTTCAGGAGAAGGTGAAAGCAAAGATCCTCCTCCTTATTCCATGTTAAGAACCATGGCTCCTACCTCTAGAAGCCTTGCAGGTGTGGCTTCCGTATCACATGTGTACCAGTAGGTGGCAGAAAGAAGAAAGGCTATCTATGTCTACAATCATTGTTCTGACCTATGAACATCTGAATAATTAGTAACTTATCATTCCCTGAAAAAAAAAAATGAGCCACCAACCCACCAACCCAAACGCCAGCTCCCAGGATTGGAAATAAGGGACTGAGGGCCCCCTCTCTCTGTCCACAGCAGACGTGAATCCAAGATGACCACCAGACTGGTGCCATGGGGCCTGGACAGGGACCTAGCCTGAGATAGCTACCAGTCAGGTGACATGCCTGGGGGGATTAGGGGGAGGTGGTAGAGACCATGCTGGGGACAACCCCAACCTGGAGCCATAATGCACAAGTTGGGCATACCACTCTTGAGACCACTCCTGAGATGAACCCAGACAGTCAGAGACCCCAGGAGCCTCTAACAGGAACAAGTAAGTGGTGAAGAAATGGAAGAGAAAGAAACAGAAGGATGTGGGAAAAATGAAGAGGCAGAACTGGAGACTCGAGGGTAATGAGGAGCAGCGTGATGTGAGTAGCCAGTGAGGCCACCTGGGACCATGGTGGGTCCTAGCCTGTGCTGTCACTGGGGGCCACATCTGGGTTCATGGCCCTGCAATAGCAGGGGTCTGTTGCCACAAAATGCTAGGCAACATGTTCCTGATCTGGGCTGTCACCCAAGGACATATTGTCTGACGGCTGTGCAGAACTGGCCCCATCCCTCCCTGGGCATTTTGGGAGAGCTGGCCTTTGGGTCATGAGAACAGATGAGCTTCCCCTGCCCCTCACATGCCATAGCACTTGAGAGAGCAGGCCCTGCACCTTGCCTGGGTAGCACAGTAGAGCTGGATATGGGGGTTGTGGATGAGTCAGCCCCAACATTGAGAGTGTGGGAGAGCCAGCCTCGCCTCTTGTCTGCTATGCAGTGACATCCCCTCCCCTCCCTTTTGCCCTTTCCACTGGTAGTAGGTGTGAGAGTTGGCCCTGACTGGGGCATGAGAGCTGGAGAACTATCCCTGCCCCTCACCTGCTGTAGCACTTGGGAAAGTGGGCCCTGCACCTCACCTGGGCAGTACAGTAGAGCTGACCCTGGTGGCTGGGGTCGTGGTGGGCAAGCAGAGAGCATGTAGTGGTGGTAGGGAACCAGCCCCTAGGCCATGAATGCAGGAAACTCGGCCCTGATTCTTTTCTGCTTGGATGAGGGAAAGACACCCTCCTCCCCTCTCTTATCTCTTGTCGTGTATAGCAGGCAAGAGAGCTGGCCCTGGGGTCATGAGAATGGGAGAGCTGGCCACGTCCCTCATCAGCTGTAACACTCAGGAGAACAGGCCGTGCGCCTTGCCTGGGAAACAGGGTAGAGCTGGCCCTGGTAGCAAAGTTTGCTGGTGAAGTGGCCTCAAGGTCATGAGAGTAAAAGAGCTGGTGGGCTGACCGGTTCAGATACCTCTCAGGCCCAGATCCAGGGCGTTGAATTGGCCCACTCCAACATCTACCCCATAGAGGAACCACTGCAGTATTCTGGGACCCCATCCTACAGATCCAAAACTACAGGCTCTCCATGGCACAGGACGATGACAGAATATCCAAGAGAAGTCTCAGTGAGATTCTTGTGTCGATAGAGTAGCAGAAGCCAAAGGCCTCGCGCCAGGCCAATGAGTCACTGCAATGAACATTTACAAGCAAAACCATGTGGACAAGAGGGTGCACTGTGGGACACCCTATGACACACTACAACTTCTACAATAAAATTTTTTTCTTTGTTGGTGGGGGGAGATTGCAAGGGTGGAGGGTGAGTATGAGGGGAGGGGGGATGAGTGGGATTGGGGTGCATGATGTGAAGCTCACAAAGAACCAATAAAAATTTTAAAAAGAAAAAAATGAAGCACCACTATGGGCTGGGGACATAGTTCAGTTAGTGAAGCACTTGCCTTGTAAGCATGAGAACCCCCAAGCCAGATCACTAAAATCCATGCAAAAAGGTAGGGCACGGTGGCTCAAAACCGCAATCCCAGCACTGCAAGAGGGCTAGTGGAGACAGACAGACAGACAGACAGACAGACAGACAGACAGACAATGTGGAGCGGTTCCAGGCCAACAAGAGACTTGTCTCAAACATCAAGTAGAAGACACCTGTGGGCTGACTGCTGAGGGACCAAATTTAAGCTCTGAGCCCAGAGAAACTTGAGGACAAACCCTAAAGCTGAGACTCAGAAAGTGATGGAGACATAAGTTGGTGACTAGTGAGAGTGCTCAGAAAGGTCCAGAGCCCACTGACTGTCCTGCTCCTGGAATTCTAGAGAAACTGGAAGTCCTGTGTGCAGTGTGGCTAGAGGACCCACAGGCGATCAAATGGCAGAGGATAGGCAATTCATGTAGGGTATAACTGCCATTTTCTGTTTCCATTGGCTCACTTAGTTTCTGTTCGACCTTCTCTACAGGAAAGGACAGAACTGGAAATAAAAGGAAAAGTGTTTCAATAATCATAGGCTGTGCATCAAGTCAGATCCCATCTCTTATTCCTGAGCCAATCTGTGTGTGAGCCCCAGCTGAGACCAGCAGGCTGAGTTCTGGCCAACCAAATGTGAGCAGAAGTGTATTCTCAACCCCAAGTCCAGCCGCTGATAAACACAAATGGCCACCTGACTTCTGAGCTTCCTCCAGTAAGATGTCAGTGTCAGGTGAACAAGGGAGCAAGCACAGTTGATGGCATTGGCTTGATTCTTCAATACCATGTGAGCATCACAAAGTAAACTCTCACTGATCCATCTCTCTCCCATATAGGAATAGCCGTCCCAGAATCTTTCATACAACAGAGCCGATGTTCTGGTTAAGCCTGAAACCTGGAAGTCTGTCTGAGAGTCCAGCTGGGATTCTCTTAACATAGATAAGCATCATTTCAAGAAACAGCTCTCTCCCAGTGGAGAGTGCATATGTCCCTTGGATAGGTACTTACTATGGAAAAGAAATACATCCAGGCTGGGAACGTTCAGGAAACAGTTAACCCTTGAACAACTCAGACCCATAAAGGAGATACTTTCAGCCTTGCGTTTTGATGTGAAGAAATCTTGGGAATGAACAGCCCTGTTCTTCTCCTTTTGAAACCTCATGAAGACAATTGCTTTTTCATTGTAACAACATAGTAGAGGGAGAAAATTCCCCCCAAACAATACAAAGTTATTTAGCCAGGAAAGCTAATAAACTCTAAAACCTTCTGGAAAACTACAACTACCATTATCAAATTTAAAAGTAATTTATTGAAATTAACTAAATAGCATTTTAAAGGTGCATATAATCACCCATTTTTCTCCTTTAGCCTTTTTTGTGTCAGATAGCATCCCTTTCCCTACCATCGACTCTCACAACTCCAAATGTCAATAGCCACGGATGATTCCCACTTTCAGCAATCAAACACTTAGCAATCAAGCAGGGGAGATGACGGCTTGGCTGTTGATCCACTGAGACACATGACTCCAAGTCAGTCTAAGGTGGTGGGCCTCGTCCTTCCTAATGCCGCCAACCTTTGATGGTTCTTCAGGTTGTGGTGGCCTCCAACCACAAATTATTTCATTGCTATTTCAGAGATATATATTTTCTACAGTAAATATGAATCATAATGTAAATATCTCATACACAGGATATCTGATGCACAATCTCCAAAGGGGTTGTGACACCCACAGGTTGAGGACCACGGGTCTAATGTGCAAAGTAGAATGCAGACAGGTCATCTCAGAGGAGCATCCAATGGAACTAAATGCTTTTGGAGATGAATAATAGAAAACCTAAATTGGCCCTGGGACAGGCCTGTAAACCCACCTGTTTTCAGTACATGAAGCAAAAGGGTTGAAATTAAAGAACCTGTTCGAGTGACAGTGTCAGTTCAAGAACAGATGAGGCAATTTATGGAGACCTGATCTCAAAATAAAAACTCAAGAGAGAGTCAGGGAGAGAGTTCTTGTTGGGGTGGGGGGTGCTTGGCTGTGATGTGTTAGCCCTAGATCCAATGCTTAGTGCTGGAAGAACTCTGGAAATGAGGAGAGGAGAGAGGGACAGGAAGGATCAGGGAATGTGGCTTTCTGTTGACTTCCATTATAAATGAGGCTCAGTGAGGGTGTGTGTGTGTGTGTGTGTGTGTGTGTGTGTGTGTGTGTGTGTAAAAGTCATACATTAAGTCATACATTATTTTTGGAGGCATCTCTCACAAAACCTACAGCTCACAAATTTGTCTAGCCAGTCAGTGAGCTCCAGGAGACTCCTATCTCTGCCTCCCTAGAACTGCTGTTTCAGGCAGGATCCATGGCACCCAGCTTTCTACATGGCTGCTGGGGAATCCAAACTCAGGTCCTCATGGTTTTTTAGCAACCATATTACCTGCTAAGCCATCTCCCCAGCACAAATGCATGTGTTTTATCTATATACACATGAGTACACGCAGCTACGTGTATATATTCAGAAACAAAATGTCAGAGGAATGTACCGATTCTTTCTATTCTATATTATTTCTACTTTATTTTTTTAAAGTAACAAAGAACCAATTAAAATGAACAACATATGTAAATGAAATTTTCAAACCAGATGTACAAATAGACGATGTGCCCCTTGAAAAAAGACCCTTAGAGAAATGGAAATGTACAACACGTGGGAGCATCACTAACACTTGTGAGAATGGGTAAGAAGTTAAGACATTTACAATGATAAGTGTTGAAGAAAGTGTTAAAGGAACTGGAACTCAGGTACACTGAAGATGGAATGATGTCAACACTAAGGAAAGCAGTTCAGCAAATCTTTATTAAAGTGAAATGTGCACTTATACATAATTAGACCCAAATTCATAATCTTTGATCAAGAAAATATAATACAGAGACTTACACATAAATATTCATGGTAGTTTCACTCTTACATCTCATCAAGGTGGAGGCAACCATCCTCTGCCCATAGGTGAGTAGATAAGCAAATTATGATACATCCTAAGAAAGGAATACTACACAGCAACAAAAAGGAACTATTCATATTCACATAGGATGAGCCTTGCAAATGTTATAAGTAAAGGAAGTCAAATAACACTTTATATTTACTATATGACTTCATTTATACAAAATTGC